TCAAAAACTGGGTAAGAAATAGAAGAGTAGAATGTAACGATCATAGAAGCCGAATGACAACAAATAGAGTAGTAAAGACGACAAGAGATGGTTCCCCAATAGACAGTCATATCTATATAAAAAGAAGAAGAAGAAGACTTAGCAGCTATTACAAACACTGCATACGCTTCTTCATTTATCATGAAGAATATAGTTGAAGATTTTAGAAAACGGACACTTGGCCCCTAAACCGTCTTGTATTTTCAGATGACGATTTTGCCTGCCTTTTTTTATTGACCGGCCACACCAGGAAATAATGTAAACAACTCCACAGAAGCTGTTCTATCTACATCAACCACAGCAGCATCTGAAAAAGCACGAGAGAAAAAATATTAGAGCACGAAAAAAAGTAAAACTAGAGTTTTAACAGAAACACTAGAAAAAAACATAATTGAAGAAGAAACTCTAACAAGAGAACAAAAACAACAGAAGTTGCAAGCAAATAAGATGAAAAGAAACATAATACACTTAAAAAGAAAAAACGTTCAAAAGTGTCCCCTCCTCTCTTACACACACTGAGAAAGAGCTAATCAAAGCCCTAACGATAAATGTGGCATCTCAACTGTCTGTTTACAGTTACGCGACTGAGGTCTTCTTTTATTGTTAAACAATTTTATTAATTTTTTTTAACTGTGACCCTACCGCTTTGTTCTGTTATAATGTGTTATTTAATTTTTTAAAGCTGCATTGTTTTTGCAGTTTGTTGTAAAGTTAAAACATTTGTACCATTTATATATCTGGTAAATAAGACAATTGTGTACCATACTGTGTGGTTTAAGATGTGATTTATAACAAATGTTTATTTTTAATTTGGTTTTGGCAATAATATAATCAAATACCAGCGTAGCAAATTTATTTCTCCTTCTGATTTCCCAACTTTAAGCGTCAAAGTAATAAAAGTTGCCTTTATTAAATATCGGCGATTGAATAAGATGAGATATTATCAAATATAAATAATATTAAACGGCGTTGAACATGGTAACCTTAATTTCGAGACACAGACAAACAAATTCTAAGAATTACAAATTTAATTGAGAAAGACATATTCTCGCCTTAATTACCGAAGGATCCCACGGCTGGCATTGATTCTCTAAAACAGATACAATTGGCAGTGGGATACTTTGATCAACTTGGTTTGAAACGATTCGATTAAAGAGATAGACAAGCTGATAGTGCAGGTACTGTATACGCCACATAGGAAGACCCAACTTCGCGCATGTGGCGTGTGTCGACTTTATCCGAAGAGGTGGACAGTGCTGTGATTATGGTTTTTATATAATTACCGTTGCCCTACTGACAGCGTGGATAAATATGTAAACAAGGCTCTTCTCATATGCAAGAATAGCGAAGAAAGAGGTGGATATCGGAAAACGAGATTAGACCAAAGCTTAGATGGATAAAAGGGGTAACGAAATAAAAGATTTTTGCTTCCAACTGAAAAACATCAAACAGAACAGGAAGACGACTGATGTAAAAGATTAAATATTTTAGCAAAAGCTGCTATCGCTTTGTTAAATTAAATGGCCAAGGAGGACATATTCTTTAAACTTCCCGTGCTAGAATCGGTATCAATTAAGTGTTATTAATCATTTCAGCATCATATCCCACCTCATCAGACACTTGGGCTGATACAAATTCAAACTCGGAAAGTCCAAGTTGTCTTCCTGTTTTGAACAACATGCACTTTCACCACAATTCTTAACAGCTCTGGAACACATAATCAGAAAAAAACCGACTACAATATTCTATCCAAAAGGGTCAAACTTACTGGTGGTATTTATAGACGATATCGATCTAATAGGAAATACCAGATTAAGAATGAAGGAAACTTTCGTCAGGTTCGAGAAGAAAGCAGAAAAGGTGGGGCTCCATATCAATGAAAACAAAATCAAATACACTGCACCCCAAAATTAACGCATAATTTTAAAAACCCTGGTAAATTAAATAATTTTAATGTTTCGTTTTTTGTGCTAATATATTATCGTTACCCCCGGTATATTGTAAAATTTATCGAAAGAACGGTAAAAAACGCTGATGTTTTTATCATTTTTTTGCAAAAAATTAAAAACATGCTAATTGTGCTTCATTTTATTTCGAATTTAGTTGGGTTGGATTTCATTGTGCTGAACGTTTAAAGGGGTTTTTCAAGTTTATTAAGTGTTTTTTCTTTGAAATGAACCACTCGCAGCAAGAAAATCGAAATTTGTCAGAAAGTGACTGTTTTAGAATCGTTACTCTTCGCGAAGAAGGATACACTCAAGTAGAACTCGCTGAACGTTTTAACGTCACCCAGTCAACAATTTCAAGAGTGTTAACACGTTTTTCTGTTACTGGAAGTAACTCGAGAAGACCCGGTCAAGGCCGTAAAAGGGTTACAACTCCTAATCAAGACCGGTTTTTGACACTTCGTACACTGAGACAAAGGTTTGTTTCCAGTACTTCTCTACAAAATAAATTTTTGGATCGTTATAACTTTAGAATCAGCCAAAATACAATTAGAAGAAGACTTGCCGAAAACGACCTACACCCTGGAAGGGCACCAATTGGCCCATTATTGACCAGAGACCATAGAAGGCAAAGATTGAATTTTGCTCGTGAACATGTTGATTGGAATAATGACGATTGGGGAAGAATATTGTTCACCTATGAATCCAGGTACTGTCTTTTTTCTGATGACAGGAGAAACCGAGTGTATAGAAGGCCTGGGGAACGCTACGCACAGTGTAACACCGTAGGGACTGTACAGTATGGCGGCGGCTCGGTAATGGTATGGGGTGGAATTAATTTAGAGGCTCGTACGGAATTAGTTAAAATAAATCACGGTCGGCTTACATCGCAGAGGTATATAACAGACATTTTAGAAGAGCATGTCGTGCCATTTGTACCATTTATTGGGGATAATTTCATGCTTATGCAAGATAATGCCAGGCCACACACGGCAAGAATTGTGCAGCAGTATCGTCAGGAGGTTGGAATTCCTGCCATGGATTGGCCTGCGAGAAGTCCTGACCTTAACCCAATAGAACATGTTTGGGACATCATAGGCAGACGACTACGACAACTACCTAATCCACCAAACACATTAGATGAACTGTTTTTGCGGTTGGTTGAAATTTGGGATCAAATTGATCAAGAAGAAATCAGAACGATTATTCTCAGTATGAGAGATCGTTGGCAAGCAGTAATAAATGCCAGAGGAGGCAATACTCGATACTAGTACACGGTAGTAGTATTTTCTTCAACTTTAAAAACTTTTTCTTCATTAATTTATGATGTTAGTTTGTTTAGATCAGTTCGTTTAGATGTTATGATTTATGTTAGGATGTTATATTGTTAATTTCAATACATTTTTTGTAAAAAAAGAATAGTTTTATTTAAGATGTTCTAAAACAACCATAAAGCAGAAAAGAACAAACAAAATTTTTTTCATTACAACTCAAAATAAGAATTTTAAAATTATGCGTTAATTTTGGAGCGCAGTGTATATGCATATGAGCCGCAATAACCAAAACAGAGAGAGAATCCGACAGAACATCACCATCGATGACTTTACCTTTGAGCTCGTCAGAGAATTTAGGTATCTTTCAACAACAATAACGGATCAGAAGAAATAAACAACAGGATACAAGCCGGCAACAGATGTGTTTATACCTTTCAAAACCTTATAAAATCGAAACAAATAACAAGACATACAAAGATACAACTAGACACACCGGCATATTTAAAGGAACAACCATAAAATCTGAGTAGTTTCTTTCTAGTCTATATTATATTGTTATAGAAACATGTATAGAACATATTTTGAATTTGTATTACAATGATACTACAATGTAAAACCAATTTAAGAAGCAATAAATCACAAAAAGGCCAGACTCAAACAAAATACGGATTTTATACACAATAACTTTATTCTACAACTACAGCCATTCGTCTTCTCATACTCCTGATTAGGCTATCGATCAGTTGTTGAGGCAGTCTCTCCCAATCCTCAATCAAAGTAATTCTTCCTTCCTCTGTTTTGAGTAACAGGAACCCGTGCCCTAAGTTTTCTGCCTAACATGCTCTATCGGGTTTAGCTCTTCAAAAATTGATCAAATTTACAATATTGAGCCACACTCTTTAGTTTTGACACACAACTTTTAATATTCTCCTGCGACTCTTGATTTGTGTTTAAAATGTATACCTTTCAGTGATAACTAACGGCTTTGGACTATATTGTTCAGTCAGAACTCTTCTTTTTAACTATTCAAATGTTTTTGAACTTAGTAGTTCTGGTACTAATAAGTCTTTTAAATGTCTCCATCAATTAGGGTAATCAATAATGAAACTTCCTCTTCTCTTTCACTACATTACATAAAAACAACTGCTCAAGTATCTCTAGATAAGACGTGACATCACTTTTAGCAGGATCGAATTGTTCAATGGCCCCAATTAACTACATTTTTCGACTTTTTCGTGGATTCTTTCTGTGACTCGTCACCAAATATGTTGTGTATTTAATGAAGTACAGACTAACAAAACAACTATTAATTTACTTATAAAACGGTTACATATCATTCAATTAATCAGCGGCGTGGACATTCGGAGCTGCTCATCGACATCACATAACCTCACCCAAGCCTGTCTAATTTTTCCGAAGTGTCTACTGTTCCGATGCAGGAATAATATATAACAAAGTGTCTTTATAAAGCATTGTACTTATCTGGATTATTATTTTTAAAGCTAATACATCTTTTAGGAAAGGGAAATTAGGGTTAAAGTCACAAAAATAATTACTCCAGTTATTAACTGACAAAATATATTAAACATTTTCGTGTACAATACTTTTGAACACATTTTATTAATGATTTTCCATATTTTACAAAAATAATAATACCTTTATTAAACAGAAACAATACTTTTTCAGTAAGAATAATAACCTAGCTTAATTTAATTTATATGACGTTATTTATAATAGTTTTTTGAGGACCGATAGTACAAACTAGAGCTTTTAACTATCACGTGAAAGGCCCTTTTTTGATTCCAGATACGAGGTATTTTTAATCTAGAGCTAAGCTGCATGCGCAGCTTTATAAATAAAATATTTTGATTCATATTATTTCTTATCAAGGAACAAGCCTTTAATACTATTTACAGATCTAACACGGACTGTTTTCTAAATTTCATACTCTACCACTAACCACTATAGAAGTTTGTTTGTTTGTTTGTTTATTTAACGGGATGAACCCTTTTTCCTTACAAAAATTACAATATACACATATAATTAACATATAAACTGTAGTCATATATTACAATTTTAAAAAGTATTAATAACATTAATGTCTCAATTTCTTTAAACTATTCTTGAACGAGGACATGGATAAATTAAACAATTCAACACTATTTTGCAAATTATTGGCAGTTCTCAACATCCTTGTGATTGACTCACTTTTACCATAATTAGTGTGATGAAACTTTAGTCTAAACAGGTCAGGAGAGCGTGTTCTTCTAGAATTTACATTAAAAACAATTAATTCCAGCAGTTCCGGACAATCAACATAACCATTAAGAATTTTATGCAAAAAACGCAATTCACACTCAGGTTCTCTATTTTCTAAAGTTTTCATATTAAGTTGACAAAGAATATAGTTATAATCACAGTTAGTTCTATTAAAATCCATTTTATACCTACAAATTCTTAAGAATTTATTTTGAACTCGTTCCAACTGATCAATATACATATTATAATATGGATACCAAATAATATTACAATATTCCAAAATGGACCGAACTAGAGAACAATACAAAATTTTGAAAGTAAATATTGAAAATTCTCGGGAGTTCCTTTGAACAAAGCCGAGCATTCTATAAGCCCGCGATGTAATATTATTAATATGCCTATCAAACATTAGTCTTTGGTCAAATGTAATTCCAAGGTCTCTAATTTAATTTACTTCTGTAATCGATACTCCCTTAAGTATGTATGTTCTATATAACTGATGTTTAGTATTTCTGGAAAACGTAATTTTATAGCACTTTTTTATATTTAAATATAAGGCATTAATGTCACACCAACGAGATAAATTATTTAAGTCAGACTGAAGAGCATCCATATCAGAGGTATTTTTAATTGCTTTAAAGATCTTTATGTCATCAGCAAACAATAGAAATTCACTATTATTAATTACTGATGATATATCATTCACAAACAGATTAAATAGAAGTGGGCCTAAGTAAGAACCTTGAGGTACACCTGAAGTAACATTAATCGCTTCAGAAACAAAATCACCATATTTTACTATTTGTGAACGATCTGTTAAATAACTCGTGATCCAACCCAATAAATTATGTCCAATTCCGTATCCACGAAGTTTAGCAATTAATATTTCGTGATTTACCCTGTCAAATGTAAGATGCAGCAAGTGAAACTATTATTAATCTAATGTGTAAGTCTGATTTTATTATAAACAATTTCACGGGGGAATATTGCTAATAAATTAAACTAAAGTTACAAAAACTGACAGTAATTAAAATACACAAATAAATATTATTATTTGTAACTGTATTTCTTAAACTATTTGGTGGATAATGAGCAACTTCGACAGTGACATCTCAAACACAGTCTTGTTAGATAAACTCCGAGCAGAAATCAGTAAACAATCTGCAGACTTAAAAAAGTCTATATTACAAGAAATCAAAGATGAAACACGAACACTGGCCAACAAAATAAATAAAACAGTAAAGTATCTTGAAGAAAAACATAATACAGTGCTTGACAGATGTATACAGTTAGACAGGCAAATAAGAAAAAATAATATACTGATATATGGAATAGATACACCTGAAAACGGAGATATAATTGCAGAAGTACTTAAGTTGTTCCACGAGGTGCTTAAAGTCGAAGTGTCAGTTTGCGAAATAAACAATATTTATCAAATAAAAATAGGAACTAAAAACGCAGTTAAAGTTGAATTTCTATCTTATCTAAAGAAAAATATAATATTAAAAAACTGTAGTAAATTGCGTAATACCAATATTTATATAAATCACGATCTATGCTACGAGGATAGACAAGACCAAAATCTTCTCACTACACACCTGAAACTAGCAAGAGAAAAAAAAATTTATGCTAAAATTCGTGGCAAATACTTAGTCATAAATAATGAAAAATACTCTGCCAAAGACTTGAGAAATATGGAAAAGGATGAAAATGAAGATGATGTTAAATCAGAAAAACCTAAACCACACAGTGCACCAGAAACACCAACACCAAATTCTAAAACATTTTTTGAAGACAGCATCTCACAATTTACCTTAACTACGCCTAAGAATTCATCACAAAAAGAAGAGGCTGCCCAACAACAAAACCTTAACCTGATAACTACACTGACTGAAAAACTGACAAAGGAATCAGATACTGATAAAAGTAAATCAGAAAAAAAGAATTCGGAAAAGAGAAATATTGTAGACCATAAAGAAGTACTAAGAGGAGTGGAGAAGAACAAAAACGAAGATAGACACGAAGAAGGAAAAAAGCCAAAATCAAGACACAACTCTACTTCAGGTAACAAAGAAAGAGTTAATACTCGGCAACAAAGCAGTAAGTGCTAGAATCTTGTAAGACAGTTATTTTTTTCTTAGGTATTTCACTATCAATTTCTTTTTTTTTTGTTGTTGTTATAGTATGGATCCATACATTCGTGATGTAGACTACATTCCCGTAATTACTCATAAACCTAAAGATATTGAAGATTTTAATAAGTTAACTGCGGATTTTTATAAAGGTAAAAATAATGAAAATATTACCATTTTACACCAAAATATTAGAAGCCTTAATAAAAATCTAGATCAGTTACGATTAAATATACAACAGATGACACTTGATTTTGACTGTATATGTCTAACGGAAACATGGATTATTCCTGATATATCTTTATTTCAAATAGATAATTATAACATTTTATATAATGAAGGAGATATAAATCAAAATGATGGTGTCATTGTATACATAAAAAAGAATTTAAGATTTACGTGGAGGGTTGTAAACATTAGTGTATGTAAGGTATTAGAGATAACTATATTAGGTAAATATAATCAAAATACAATATTAACATTAATTTATAGACCGCCATCGACGGATGAAGAACATTTTTGCATTGGTCTGGATAAATATTTAGAGAGCACTAAAAATGATAATTGTAAATATCATGTTTTATTGGGTGATATTAATATTAATATCAAAAACATGGCACCAGATTCGTCTGAGTATCTAAGTATATTGAGTGAACATAATTTTTTATCAATAATAAATAAAAATACTAGAGTTCAGGGCGATTCACGAAGTTGTATAGATCACATTTTTGTAAAAAGTAAGTTTTGTATTAGTAATAATGTTTTACCAGCTGTTCTGGATCTTTCTGTGACTGATCATAAAGCAACATTTGTAAGTTTTTCTTTTGAAAAAAATAAAATTGAATGCAAAGTTAAGTTTAGAAAAATAGTTAATTATGATGATTTAAAAAGAGATCTTAGTTTTCAAAATTGGGATCACTGTTCTAATATGAATAACCCTAATGCTTTCTTAAATAATTTTACCGACACCCTTATTTCATTAATCAATAAAAATACCAAAGAAATAAAGAAAAAAAAATGTGAGGTTAAGCGAAATATCTGGATGACAGACGGCTTAATAAAATCGGTTAATAAAAAAAATCAACTTTACAGAAAATCTATGAACAACGCAGATGACCTAACATTAAAAAAAGAATACACAATTTACAAAAATAAATTAAATAAGCTAATTATTGAGGCAAAAAAAAATTATTTTCACACGGAAATCACAAAATATAAAAATAGTTCTAAAGGTCTGTGGAACACTATTAAAAAATTGGATAATAACAGTACAAAAAGTGAAATTTATTCCATTTTAAATCAAAATAATGAGTTAGTTACGGATAGTCAGAATATTAGCAATATTTTTAATGATTATTTTTCTAAAGTAGGGTCCACGCTTGCTAAAAATATTAATACATCATCTTCTCCTGATCCTCCAAAAAATACATGTCATAGTACGTTTTTTCTAAAACCCGTTACAAAATCAGAAATTCAGAGTATTATTCATTCCCTAAAACCAAAAAAGTCTCCTGGCATAGACAATATTTCAGCCGATCTGTTAAAGATCATTAGTAATTATATTGTTGATCCGATAACTGAATTAATAAATAAAATATTTGAGCATGGTATATGTCCTGACCTTTTTAAAAAAGCTGTAATTATACCTATATTTAAAAAAGGTGATACAAAATTGATGCAAAATTATCGTCCTATATCACTTATTACCAGCCTGGCAAAAATTTTTGAAAAGGCCTTAGCTGAACGAGTAAATCAATATCTTACAAAGTTTAACCTGCTGTCTCCAAACCAATTTGGCTTTAAGAAGGGATATTCTACTACAGATGCTATAACGTCCGCTACTGATTATTTATATAAGATGCTGGATAATGGCTCTCCTACTTTAGCGATATTTTTGGATCTAGCTAAGGCATTTGACACTGTTAGTCATCAGCAGTTGTTAAGTGCTTTGGATCATCTTGGAATAAGGGGCATACCGTACTTACTATTTCAGAGTTATTTAAAAAATAGATCGCAAATTGTTAACATTAATAACAAAGTAAGTGCTGAAAAAACCATTGAGTATGGTGTGCCGCAAGGTACTGTTTTAGGACCTTTACTGTTTTCAATATATATAAATGATCTAGCATCAATGAAAATAAATGGAAAGATTATTTGCTTTGCTGACGATACTGTCATACTTTACACTAGTAATTCGTGGGAAAAACTTAAAACTTTGGCAGAAACAGAAACTGTAAAGGTTCTAGAATGGTTAAATAGGAAATTACTGACAGTTAATACTGATAAAACTTATTTCATACCATTTTCAATATACAAAAACAATTTACCTGACTTCTTGGAATTAAATCTAAGCTATAATAACGCGTTCATTAAAATAAATAGGAAAAAATACATAAAATACTTAGGAGTTTATATTGATTGTCACTTGAAGTGGGATGTGCATATTGATATGGTATGTAAAACTCTAAGAATGTTATTATACAAATTTAGATATCTTAGCAATATTCTTAATTTGTCTTACTTAAAGACAGTATACTATTCTTTGATAGAGTCACGTCTTAGATATGCTATTTTAGCATGGGGTGGAACATATGCTTCTTATTTAAATAAACTCGAAATATTACAAAGAAGGTTTTTGAAAATAATGCTAAAAAAATCTCGCTTATATTCTTCAGAACTTCTTTATCAGCAAGCAGATATTTTTAGTATAAGACAGTTATATTTGTTTAACATTATTTTGCTTACATACAAAAATAAACATGTTTTAAAATCAATAGATCATACTTACAGCACTAGAAGAAAAGTTCATGATTATGTCCAAATTACTAGTGCTTATAAATCAATTGGAAAACACAATTTTTCTTACTTCATTCCTAGAATATTTAACTATTTACCCGAGATTTATAAAACCTATATAAGAAAAATCAACTCATTTTACATGATTAAATCCATTTTTACAAAATATCTGAAGAACACTGGATCTGAAATTTTGGATGAGATCTTCTTTAATTAAATTCATCGTATAAATAATACTATACAGTATACTTTGCAACAATTTTATATATTATCAACCTAATGATACTGTAGAAATATTGAATAGTGTAAATGTGTGTAATCCCTGAGCACAACCTCTGGTTCATCAGGGAAGTTCACCTTTGTTTATTTGCCAACAACTATTTTATTGTACAAAATATTTAACTTTGAATTTGTAATTGTAATATATAGAACTAACATATTGTAACATTGTTTTATATTGTATATTGGGAAGTAAATAAACATTATTATTATTAAATGCTTTGGCAAAATCAGCATATATGGAGTCAACTTGGTTTCCCGATTCCATAGAATCAACAATGAAGTTTGAATACAAAATAAGATTTGTACAAGTAGATTTCTTTTGATAGAAACCATGTTGTTGACCGAGAATTAAATTTTTACAATCGTAGGTTAACATATGGTTAACAAAAAATCAAGCAACTTTGGTAGTTCAGACTGCAAACAAACAGCCCTGTAATTTTCAACATTATTCTTTTGACCAGATTTAAAAATGGGTTTTAAAAAACTCACTTTCCAAAAATCAGGAAATGTAGAAGAAGTTAATGACTTATTGAATAATAACTGAATAGGTTTAGCAAGAGTGAATACACATTTTTTAATAAAATACATTGGTATACCAAGTAAAACCACTATAATAAAAGACTGACAATATAAATAGGAAAGTGTGTTCAAAAAGTCGCCCTACACTAACCACGCGACCTATTGTGTTTTTGGCTGGGTTACTCGTCTTTATGTAACCTCAGTAAACATTCTTGTTTCGTTTATACCAGCCAGTGTAAGCATTACATTACATACTGAAGTGAACATTCCAGGATAGTTAATTCATTATTTGTTTTGTCACTATTAAAATGCTAACCAGTGAACGGGTCATGGGAAATATGGATCTTTTTGGATGGCCTAGATCAGTTAAGAGATCTGGATAGTAATAGAGGTCTTGTACCAGTTGGATTTTTACTAATGAAACTACCGTCTTAAAAAATACAAACTTAATGGTATTGTAATGTAAAATTAATATTGGTAGTTTCTGACTGATATAAGACATCATCCCTACTGCAAGATTGTAAAATTGTCGTAAATTTCCAATATAGATTAAATACAGATTGGTAGAATATGAAATAATAAAAAGTCCTTTCGTAGTTTTAGTAACTACATCCTACACGAGATTTGAGCATTTTACATAACGTTTAAAACACAATTTAATCTCAAAAAATTAAGTTGGATAAATACCCTTAGAGCCACACTGGTAACTACACCAAAAGTTATCATTCGTTATTATCAATATGTAGTTGCCTCAATCTCTGCACAGCGCTTTCTAGATCGGTGTCACTTTCAGTTTCGGTACTTTCAGGTTCTTCCGAGGATTCTTCAGAGTTAACATCTATTTCATTAGTAGCGAATTCTTGAGATTCACTTCTAGGCGCTGGGTGATTTTCATTGGAATTTGTAACGTGCTTCATGCTGTGGAGACCAGCGACTCCTAAAAAGTGAATATATCATCAAGGGAAAATAAATAATAAAGCTGAATAGAAAAATATTAGTTTATCGACTGGTTACACACAGTAAACAGCTTTTCTGAATATATCTCTTCCTCTATATTTCATTTTAAGCATTTAGATAATACTCTAACGTTCAACCACATATTATTCTCTTACCATCTTCCTCTTTATCGATTATTTAGTTTCCGCGCTATATTATACACTAATACCGACAATGAATATTGTGAGGTAAACAGTAATCATGTTTTTTAATATTACAAACTATTTGTTGAAAATGGTTGGGGAGTAATGCAGCTGATGACCTAATGTCCTTCGTACTGAAGGCATTAGAAAACTTATCGACAGGCATATTAGAGGCGGAATACTGGTTGAAAGACCGATACACCAAGATCAATATGCGTACAGATTAGAAGTATCAACAGAAATAGCATTTCACCATCTAAAGGAAGGAGTACGTTTTGGAAACCAAGGAAGTGATGCCTGGAAGCCTGTTTCGATGTGAAAGGAGCGTTCAGCAATAATTTGAAGTAATCATGAAAGCCATTCGTCTAAAAGGAATAGACGAATAAGCTTCAGGGTAGATAGAATGCATGCCTAAGAGTCGCATGATACACTTAACACTGCCAAGTGAGACCATATGAAGTTTATATTGGTTGCCCGCTGAGAGAAGTATTATCATCTGTGCTGTGGAAGGGTTGATTCACTTACATAAAAGGCCACCAAGTCTTGGTATATGCTAATGACATTATTATACTAGCACAAGGCAAGTTTAACACAACAGTCAGGGATAAAATGCAACACGCACTGAATGTAGTATCAATATGAACCAAAGACGTAGGATTATCCATGAGTCCTCAAAAGTCCTTCAGAAAAGAAGGAAATTAGAGGGCATATGACCATTAAATCTAAAAAAGATTACTCTGAAGATAGAAGGAGAGATAAAATATCTGCGAGTTACAATAGATTGGAGATTTACCTGGAACCAACACCTACAATGAATAACTGGTGATAAGACCGGATATGATATATTGGATATACAACATAGTTGTTCAACCCACAATAGCATATGCATCTTTGGTATGATGTCCAAAAGTGCAACTAGTAAGTGTGTCCAATATCAAATCTTCAGAATTCATATCCGAAATTGGACAGTATAATTTTATCACCCAGTAGACCGAATGAATTTATTTGTTATTAAATACACACACGTAGTTAATTAGGTTACATTAGATTTGGTCAATTATCAACAATAAAATTTGGACATCAGTCGAAAGTGCTGACGAAAGTTAAACAATTTACACACAAATTAGATACACATGTCATTAGGTCCTCGAATATATTGACCCAATTAAAACTTATATAAAACTAAAATCTCTTGCCTAGAAAAGCATTCAATCAATATTCACTCAACAAACGTGATAGTCTTCAACGCTCAACTGCAACAGTCTCTACTCAAAGTAATCCCGGGTCAACACCCATAGTGTACGTCTCGTCAATAAACTCTGCTACTATTATTTTGTGTTTCCATTACAACTGAACGAACATCTTCACTGAGCCAACGAAGGGGAATTTGTTCAAAGTGCAATGTTGAAACTAAACAATGTTCATATCATAGTAAAGGAAGAAGCAAGAATGGGTGTATATAGAATGCAAGAAAACCTAGGCAATGTTCCAGTTAGATGGGAGATTGTAACATCATGAGTATAACATAGGATCACATATGGGAGAAGAAAACATACCGCATGGCCCCCAAATATAGAACCAAGATACTTGTCCAGGTAGAGCTAACCACAAGAGAAAGGTAAGTAATGACTCCAGAAGACATCCAAAGTCTGGTCGCCACAACTGGTACACAGATGGGTCAAAACAGAGGATGGTTCGGGAAGAGGAGTATACAGTGGTGATAAGAACAACCACAGTTCAGTCCCACTGGGAAAGCACACATATGTATTCCAGACCAAGAACAAGATTTGGTCCAGAACCGGTTCTGGGTGTACCAAAGATACCACAATCAGAAACCGAATAAGAGGCTTGATTCGGGGAAAACGCAGAGAATACTGGGAACAAATTTCCACACAAGCTCATGGGAAGAGCTTCATAACTCAGACCGACGAAAAGACAATAGACAATGATGGGCAAGTAACGCCTAGTACGATCTCTACTATACACAGTAGTACTCAGGCTTACTTGTATATAATCGCCGATTATGAAGAGGGGCCATTAGGTTAATTATGTTCTTATGGTAATTGCATAGATATATCATTACAGTCCTGTATCCATGTCTTATACATGCAGGCCTTTGGTGATCTATTTTTATTATAAATTTCTAGTTTTCGGTTCGAACTAAAGAATTGTGAAGAAAAATAAAATTTTAACATAAAAGAAAAAAGAAAGCAAGCAAGCAGAATTGAATTGCTTATAAAGAGGTAGAAGTATTGTACTATTGTTGGTGTTCCGAATAGAGTTGATTTCAAAGAAGTATAACAGCATATTTGCACTATAGGAGGCGTAAAAACAATATTAACATATTAATTTGAATTTTACCTTTTTTAGCAACCGTAGCATAATCCCTTTTAATTCTCCGTCTCCTCGAAGGATCGTTTCTTCTTATTTGCAACATATTTTCTAAATCAATTATATACAAGAATCCAGCGATGAGAAGTTCACAAGTTTTCTCATTATTTGTATACGAAGCTTCTAAGTCTTTACTAGTACGTTCATCGTATTGCCACCAACCTAAAAAGATCGTTTGTAAATTGGTGTAAACAATTAATAAATGTATTTTAAAAATATTAAAATTTTGTATCTATCTTATTATACAATTAACACTAACATTATGTTTTATTTTGTTGTACCTAACGAATAATAAAATTATATCACTACCAACTTCCAACTGCTTAAAATCATCCTAATAGAGCAGTCGCTTTCAAACTTTTTTTAAATTATCTGAATTCTTAATTATTTATTTTCTATCAGTGACGTTTCATGAAGGCATCTTAAAAATATGCTCTACGACAAAATTTGAATTATATATATATATATATATATTATATATATATATATATATATATATAAGGTTCTTGAACTCCTAAGTGGAGCATAGAGCTTCAGTGAAAACGCGCCATCGGGTTCTATTTTGCGCTAAGGCCTTCACCTCTTTCCAAGACTTTCCTTGTTTTCTTATCTCGTCCATGATGGATCTTCTCCAAGTTTGTACTGGGCGACCTTTTTTTTTCGGTTTCCTTGGGTATTCCACTCTAGGGCAGTCTTTGCAATACTGGAGTTATTTTTTCGGAGTGTGTGACCGATCCAGCCCCACTTTCTGGACTTTATTTCATTTACTACCCTCTTTTGTTTGGTCAGGTGTAGTAAATCTTCGTTTCTGATGATGTTAGGCCAGAAAATACGAACAATTCTTCGTAGACATTTATTAACAAAGACTTGCAGTTTGTCTGTAAGGGTTTTTGTCGCTTTCCCAGGTTTCACATCCGTAAAGTAGTACAGACATGACATTTGACTGGAATATGCGGATCTTTGTCCTCGTAGTGTAGTCTCCAGACCTCCAAACAGGGTTGAGCATGCTGAAAGCTTGTTGCGCTTTTCGTATCCTCATACGAATATCGTCTTCTGTACCTCTGCTTTCTGTTATGACACTTCCAAGATACGTAAAGTTTTCCACATTTTCAATCTGCATGTTATTAATGGTGAATAGCGTGTTGTTTCTTGCATTTATTCTCATGGATTTGGTTTTTAAATTGAAATTGAAAATTTGAATTGATTTGAGACAATTATGTTTAAAAATGAAAATATATAGACTCACGTTTATTATTCATTAATTATTAATTACCAAATAACAAACATGATTGTTATTAAAAACAATTTAATATATATATATATATATATATATATATATATATATATATATATATAATATATATATATATATATATATATTTATTTTCTCGTTTTTTAAGTATTAACACTTGACCAATAGGGATATATGGAGTGAGTAACACCGAGCCGCAAACCCCTATCTCTTGTTGTACTGCTCATCTATAGGTGTAGAAGTAACATGCAAACAGCCTTAAATCACACAAAAATCAAAGTTGAGTAATGCATTGTTCTGCTGTAGCAAAAATGGTTTATTTTATCGGATTCATGCAAAAACCATTATTACCAATGGTAAAAACATGTTAAAAACCACCTTTAAATGCAAAACAACGTATTTCCACTATACTGGTCTATGCTAACCAGCCTATTTCCAACCAACCAATAGGAGCTCTGCAACTTACACTCAGCTGACCCAATGAGTCTTACAAATTTGAGGTTATGTAAAGGCCCTGGTCGACAGGCGTATAAAACTGCGGTTTTGTGGCTTGTCGATAAAGCTCGTCAGTGTATCATTGCAATACCGCGGTTTTATATACCTACGAGCCTGGCTCGCGGCTCGTCAGTTTGTTTTATTTTTTACTTGGCTCGTCGTTTAAAACCGCGCGTGTATCACGGTTTTTAGCGACCGTTGACGTGAACAGACGTAGTATGCTATAGCGAGGTAACACAAAACTTCAGTCGAACACGACATGTTGGCTGTGGACGGTTAACACGACTGTTTTGATCGCTAGTCCATCAGCACCAACGAGCCGCGAGTAAAACCGTCGTTCTTAAAACTGCGGTATTATGGCTCGTTCGTCGATCACCCACTTAAGGGTTTATTGTCAAAGTATTTAAAAAAAAATTAAGAATTACTTTATTATTTAAAGGATAATGGATGGAATAGATGGAAGTGTAGAGAGAGAAGAGTTACAGGAGGAAAAAGGAAAAGTGAACAAATTACCAGGTATGTAGCCCCTAAAAGAGCCCTAGTTTTTTTACCGTTTAAGCACAACAATAGAAATTTCACGTGCGTAAAAATAAGCCCTATTTACATCAAAGCTTTCAAATCAGAGTTTTATAAAGTTCCAGACACGAAAAGACAAGAAAATATAATTGTCAGTCTGATTCATACAACACAAATCAAAAGACATAGGTCTAGTTCGGTAAACAAAAATAAAAAACCTGGACCTGAGCGAAAGTACTCAATACAATACTTTTTTCCAACTCTCTCTGGTACTAAAACTTTTGTATATTTAAAGCTTTTTCGCACTGTTATTGGAGACACTACAATAAAAACATAGCCAAAAAAAGTGTATTTTGGGTTTGCTGTTGAAGGGAAAAGAGGAAGTGACTCTACCAAAAATAAGAACTATCTGAAGAAGGAAAGTGTTGAGAGTACATAATAAAGCTCAGCGGAACTGAATCCCATTACAGAAGATAGGAGTCCAAAAGATTATATCTGAGTAGTGATTTAAGTATTAGTAAACTTCTTCTTCTTCCTTTGCCCTATCCGTTTCGGACGTTGGCTATTAACAAGGCTATTTTGACTTTATTTACGGCACCTCTGAACAGTTCGCTCGATGTTGGTCCGAACCATTGTCGCAGGTTATGCATCCATGAGTGTCGTCTTCTTCCCGGTCCCTTCCTACCGTCGATTCTTCCTTGGACTATTAACTGTAGCAGCCGGTACTTAGTATGCCTCATGACATGTCCGAAGTACTCAAGCTTCCGTTTCTTTACGGTGAAGATTATTTCTTTGCTTTTGCCTATTCTCTGCATTAGTTCCACGTTAGTGATGTGGTCTGTCCAGGATATCCGAAGAATACGGCGATATATCCACAGCTCAAAGGATTCTAATTTCTTCAGAGTGGCTTCCATTGTGGTCCATGCCTCTGCTCCATAGAACAAGACCGGGAAGACATAACACTTGACCAGGCTTAATTTTAGTTCCATTGAGATTTTGCTTGTGAACCACTTTTTCATATTGTTGAACGCGTTTCACGCTTTTTCAATTCGTGATCTTATTTCTGTTGACTGGTCCCATTTTGTGTTGTTGTCTCCACTTGTTCTATTTTTCGGTTGTTTAATGTCAATTGCATCGGAGGATGTTGTGTTCTGCTGATGAGCATGCATTTAGTTTTGGTTGTATCGAGTTCTAAACCATATTCTTGACTTGCTGTGTGTATGCTTTGCATGAGTCTTTGAAGCTCGTTGCAGTCATTTGCAATAATAACTGTGTCGTCAGCATATCTAATATTATCGATTACCTCTCCGTTTACTTTGATACCCTCCGAAACTTCTTCCAGTGCTTCTTTGAAGATTTGTTCAGAGTATATATTGAACAGGAGCGGCGAGAGGACGCATCCCTGTCGTACACCCTTTTTAATATCTATCTTCCCACTGTGTAAGTTGCCCATCTTTATCTCAGTACTTTGGTTCCAATAGAGACTGGTTATTATGCGCAGATCCTTGCCATCAATATGCATCTTCCTGAGCATTTCCATGAGGACCTTGTCAAACGCCTTGGAGAAGTCGATGAAGCACAAGTGGACGTCCTTGTGCATGTCTCTGCATCTTTGAATTAAAACTTGCAGACTGAAGATCGCCTCTCTTGTGCCCAATGCGCTTCGGAATCCGAACTGTGACTCCGATATATTTGCTTCGCATTTGTTATATATTTGCTTCGCAAACACTACTTGATAGTGTCGTTGAGAGTTGTAGGGAGGCAGGTCTGGATCTTAACATAAGGAAAACCAAAATACTCGTAATAAGTAAACAACAGAATATAAAACCGTCTATATATGTAAATAATATCAAACTTGAGCAAGTTGATAAAATCGTCTACCTTGGACAGCAATTAAATTGTAATGCAAAAAATCACGGCGAAATTAGATCCAGAATATAGCAGGCTAGAGCTGCTTTTAGAAGGATGTCCAAGGTGTTATGTAACAGAGACCTAAAATTGGCATTAAGGATCCGCCTACTTCGCTGCTACGTGTTCTCGGTCTTACTTTATGCTGTCGAGTCCTGGACTGTGAATAAAATCGATCTAAATCGCCTTGAGGCTTTCGAAATGTGGTGCTATAGAAGAATTTTAAAAGTTTCCTGGGTGGAGAAGATTCGTAACTCCACAATACTAGAACGTTTCAGCAAGACTACTGAGATCATAAAAAGCATCAAGCAGAGAAAGCTGGAATATTTCGGACATGTAATGAGAGGTCCCAAATATAGATTGCTACAAAACATCATGCAAGGAAAAATAGCAGGCAAACGCAGTCCAGGACGAAGAAGAACCTCATGGTTGAAGAACTTGCGAGACTGGTATGGTGTAGATACAAGCATGCTATTTAGGGTGGCAGTGAATAAAATTAAAATAGCTATGATGGTAACCAACGTTCTGAAAGGACATGGTACATGAAGAAGAAGATTTGTTATATATTCTATTGTGTATGATTTTGGTGAAAACTTTGGTAATGTGATTTATCAAGCTTATTAAGCGGTGTTGATCACAGTGTTTTGCACTTGGTGTTTTAGGTATGGCTACAAAGGTCGATCGAAGCCATTCCTCCGGAATCTCCCCTTTGTCGTAAAAGGTGTTAAGAAAATCGGGGAAGTGGTCATCCGTTTCGCATAGGAGTTTTATGATCTCGCCCTGTATGTTGTCGGGACCTGGTGTTTTGTCGTTTTTTTAGCGATGAAATGGCTTTTTCCACTTCAGACCTTAGTATTTCGGGTCCAGTCATATCGTCATCTTGGTCCACTGTCGCTCTGCGTTTATCGTTAAAAAGTCGTTCTACGTAATCTTTCCATGTTTCAATGGGCTTCAAGTCGTCTGATATAAGGTTACCGTCTGCGTCTATTAG